TTTGAGAACATTATGCTGAGTGAAATTAGTCAGTCACAAAAGGAGAAATATTGCATAAGACCATTATTATAAAAGCTTAAGAAAGGTACTCATACTAAAGGAAGAAAAAAATTTAAAAATTCTTTATTGGTTATGGGGGTAGGGATGGGATGGTAGCGCACCGGTTAGGGGATAGATACATCATAGTTCAGGTGTTGGGGTGGACAATACACAAGAAGGAGGAGGAGGATGGAAGAACAAGGTAGATAAGAGAACTCTTAGGTAGGTTTGCATGGGCTAAATAGGACAGAAGTAAATAATGATGTGTGCTCAAGCTCGGAACAACAAGCCTCTGCGATACAGGGATTGAGGCATAGTCTAAATGGATAAAAGAGGGGAAATAATATTCAGATGATTGACTGTCTTTGGGATATCAGTTTCCCTTACCTACTATTGTAAAATAGACACTTAAGGCGATAGAAAAGAATATATGGAAACATGACTACAGAAAGCTTGTAAGCCCATTTTTAGTTTATAACTTATTGGAATACCTACACGGGTTCTAGAACTTGCTCAGTGAAAGAGGCTTCTTTCACTGTAGTGTATAGGACCTTAGGTAGACTCCTGAGCCCTATCCAGATCTTTCTGAGGTAGGACATTCCCACTTGAATGGACATGCAGACCAACTCAGAGAGGCTAGAGAAACACAAGATACATCCTGAAATAAAGACCAGCTGGAAAAAAAATAATAAAATTTAAAACGACAGTCTGTTTAGCTATTACAAGAAAAATCAAAGGGGGGCAGGGGGGCATGCAAAACGGAATCTTAAATTTTCATGGAATTCAGATTTCTGGAGCCACTGACGCTGGAAGAACCCCTGAAACTACTGTCCTGAGATAATCTGTAAACTTTAAACCTTAAACCAAAAATATTCTCCAAAGTTTTAAACCAAACAATTGTATAGCTTAATTACTAAAAAATATCTGCCCTAATCATTCAGCACTTTACAAGAACTATATATCTGAGGTTATATTGACAAAAATAAACTCTAAAGTTTAGATATGAAGTTTATGGGGCACCAAGTTTATATTAATAGAGAGGAACAATTCAGAAAATGAGGGTTAAAATGGTTGTACAACTAAAATAATGTAATCAGTATCACTGAATTGCACATGTAGAAATTGTTGAAATTGTGTATGCTCTGCTGTGTAAAATTTCTACAACAAAAAATAAACTTGTTTAAAAAAAGACAGCAGTAATTGCTAAAGGTGCATGGGCTTAACAATCAGGCTGTGTAGTGGTGGTGGTAGTTGTGTGCCGGCTCATAGAGTCCCTGTATAGGGTTTTTGAGGATGTAAATCATTATGGGAGCAGAAAACCTCATCTTTCTCTATGAACTGACTGATAGATTCAACTGCTGATCTTGAGGTAACTCACTATGACACCAGAGCTCCTTAATCAGGTTGTGTTGCCTGGCCTCCTTCAGGATCTGTTTTCTGTGTCAAAAATAGGGAAGCTAAGCGTAGTGGTTACGAATCGGGCTGCGAACCTTAAGGTCAGCGGTTCGAAACTACCAGCTGCTCCGCGGGAGAAAGATGAGGCTTTCTACTCCCGTAAAGATTTACACCCTCGGAAACCCTGTACAGGGTCGCTATGGGTCGGACCCGACTCGATGGCACTTAACAACAACAACAACAATAATAATGGTGACTGTGAAGATAAAAACAAGATAAATCATACACAATACCAAGACTAGGGACCATATTAAATGCTATTTTTATAATATTCAGTATATTAACACTTTCTGGAGACCTGCAAATACTTCTTGGAGGGAATACTGTAGAGCCTTCTGACCCTTTTTTATTTGATACCAATTAGTGGAGAAGGAGTCCTGGTGTTGCCCTATAGGATAAGCCCTGGACTGCAAGGTTGGTTTGAACTTCAGGTCGGTGGTTCAGAACCACCAGCTTCACCTTGGAAACCATATACTGGGTCACTGAGAGGGAACCAACTTGACAGCACTAAGTAACAACAATAATTAGTGGGTGGGGAGGGCAGTGGGTCTGTAGGATAAGCACTAGACTTCCAACCACAAGTTCAGCGGTTGGAGCCCCCAGCTGCCCTGGCAGGAGAAAGATGAGACTTTCTGATTCTCACAAAGATTTACAGTCTCAGAAACCCTATACAGGGTAGTTATGAGTTGGAAATGTCTAAAAGCACTCAACAACCATCAGTGGGAGGCAAGCATTCTGGAAAATAGTTCTGGAGAAAGAGTGAGAGGAGGAAGTGGAAAGTGGAGAAGGTGGAAACTCTCCTGGGTCTACAGCAAAAGTCTGGGTGTATACCCGCCTGGAGTATGTTCTAGGTAGGCCCCTGCAGATCCGGTTGCAGTAAGCACAGGGAAAGTTGTATGAGCCACTAACCAAAGGAAAGGGAGCCCTGGTAGCACAGTGGATTACCAGTTGGTCTGCTAAGTACAAGTTTGAATCTTCCAGCTGCTCCAAGGGAGGAAAAAAATAAGGCTTTCTGCTCCCATAAAGAGTTACAGCCTCAGAAACCCTATACAACACCACTGTGAATGGGAACTGACTCTATGGTACATAACCATCACTAACAACCAAAGGAAGGGATCTGTGTAATGTAGGCAGGGGCAGGTTACCCAGTAAGAAAGGTAAGAAAGAGTTTACTTATACCGACTAATCTGTAGTGAACACTTTCACATGGGCTGAAAAACATAAGGAAGTGTTCACTACATATTAGTAAGCACAAGTAAACCCGTGCTTACTGGGTACTCTGTCTCTAAGAGGGATTACAAATTTGAAGAGGCTTGGAATCTGTAAGAGGGTGCCATGTGGGGTTGGGAGAAGCCAGTCACATCTACAAGCAGCATCTTTTATTATTATTATTGTTGTTGTTGTTGTTGTTGAAACTCGAGTAAAGGTTTACAGACAAGATAATCAGTTTTACATTCAACAAATCATATGCCTTGTTTCATCTCAATGATTGTAATCCCCTCCATGCAACAATAGCCTTCCGGCTTCCACCCTGTGGTTACCCATGTACAAATATCCTCCCTCAAACTCCACATATTTGTGGGAAATAAAAATATACCATTTGGCTGCGAACCGCAAGGTCAGAAGTTCGAAACTACCAGCTGTTCCGCGGGAGAAAGATGGGGCTTTCTGCTCCCATAAAGATTTACAGCTTCGGAAGCCCTGTACAGGGTCGCTCTGAGTCGGAACCGACGCCACAGCACATAACCACCACCACCATACCCATTCAGCCTGTGTGTCTGTCCCTGTATCTACTCACAGAACACTGTTGTTCCATGGTTGTGTATATATCACTATTTACCTCTATCCCCTTTAGCCCTTGTATACCTCCCTGGGTCTACATCTAGCCTTATAGTTCTTTCACCAACATCCCTCTTCTTGCATATTGCCCTTCCATTCACAAGAGTTAGCATGTGTCTACCCTCTAGCCAGTGAATTACTCTCCCTTTCCTCCCACCCCTGGTTAACCATCAAAGAACGTCTCTTTTAGTATTAAAGCCTTTTCTTGAGTTTTTAAAATATTGGTCTCATACAACATTTGCCCTTTTGTGACTGGCTGATTTCACTCAGTATGTCATCCAGACCCATCCATATTCCGTATGAGGCATTTCACAGATTGATTGTTACTCTCTTGTACTGCATAGTATTCCATTGTGTGTACATACAGTTTGTTTACCCACTCTATCTTTGATGGGCATTTAGACTATCCCCATTTCCATCTTTTTGCTGTTGTCAGCAGTGCTGCAATATTTGCATATTTGCATATACAAGCAGCATCACTGATGTGTTGAAAAAATGTGAAGTTGTTCATTACAGATAATTAAATAAACACAAGTAGTAAGCCGGTGCTTACCTTGCTTATAGGGTAATCCTACATTGATCGTAGCGTAAGTGTTCTAAAAGATATTATACACTTGTCAGGTTTCTACATTTGCATTCTGTGTTCATTACTTAAAAATCTAGAGTCCTTGGAGCATGGGGTTGTTGGTTGCTTGCCGCGTGCATCTGAGCACCCAGACTACTTGCAAGCCCAGCCCCAAAGAGTCCCCAGATACGCGAGCTCTGTTTTCAGTGTCGTGACCAAAAAACAAAACAAAAACAAAAAAACGGAGTAAAATAATTTCATTTTAATCATAAGCCTGATTTAAGGACCTCAGGCGAGAACGGAACGGAACTGCTAAAAGAAAAAAGCACGGAGCAAAATAATTTCATTTTAATCTCAAATCAGATATACGGGGTATGGGTGAAAACGGAACAGAACTGGACATTCCTAGCCATTATTTATCAACTTTCCGGAGGGGGAAAGTGCAAACATACCAACTTGACTTCAGTTAGCTTGGCTTGCTGAAGGCTCCGTGCTTGCCCCAGCCCTATTTCTCAGTCTTTTGTACAAGAAAAGCAAAGGACTCCTTGCCACGCGCCAGCTGCAAAACATCCACAAACATCGAGGAACATCGAGGCTTGAGCGGAAGAATATTCCCCCAACAATTGTCCAAAGGCTCCAGGAACCCCGTCCACACACACGCACCCAAATCTACTTTCACAACCCAGCACAGCCCCTTCCCCTAACTAGGTACCCCGCTCTAGGTTGGAAGTAGTCGAATAAACTACAAGTTAGAGCCACAGCTCTCCACGCAGTGTCTCTCCACACAAGCGTGCTCAAGAACTTGCACGCGCTCGCCCTCTTTTTTCATCCGCCCAAGCCTCGTGCGCGGCGCCAGCAGGTTCCACTCACAGCCAGTAAAAGTAATGGTGAGCCTTCTAACCGTCGGAAGCGAGCGCGCACTCTTTGACTCTGCAGGAGGCACCGTACCCCTATATAAGGAGCGCAAACGCGAGCCTCCGCGCCAGACATTCCGACTCCAGAAGAGCGTCTGAACGGTTCCCAGCCCCAGGCCCAATCAGGGCATCACCGCTGCCACCAGTGCCAAAGACTGAGACGCACAGCTTCTTCGACAGCGCCTAGGATGGAGCCTCAACCCAACTATGGCCACTATGATGCCAACTACCGTGACATGGGACTTGGCCCTTACAGGGAAGAACCGGATGGTCAGTGCCTGGACGGGGGCGGTGCTTCGCGCAATACTCCTGGAAATGAATTTTCCCTGGGAGAAGTCCTGTGGACGGGACTCTACGTGGCCACCACCGTCGCTCTTCCGTCGTGGCCCCGAGCCTCCCGCCCACGCTCCCTGAGCTACAATGCCTTAGTCTTTTTTTCTTTCTGTCTTTTCTCCTTTCCCAGATGTTTCGCGTACCTTGTCCCGATTGACTCTAGCGGAAAGAGATGAGTTCGCGCGCCCCTATCCTGTGCTTGGAGCCGCAGCTGCAGGAGGCGACGGCTACGCTGGCGCTCAAATTTACGGCATCCAGAACAACGACTGCCAAGGTGGTTACTTCCAGGAGCCCAGGCAACCACAGGAGGCGGCGGGCCTCCTAGCTGAGCCCCGGCCACAGAACGGGGAGAGGGAGCACCGCCGCTACCGCACCTCCTACACCGCGGAGCAGCTTCGGAAGCTGGAGAAAGTTTTCGAAAGCACTCCGTACCCCGACGTGCATGCGAGGTAAGAGACTTGTTCTTGGTACGCGCTGTTCTCCACGGGGCTGGAACTCCTCCTAGGGCGCCCTTCCCCAACCCAAGCCAAGGCACCCCACTCCCCCACCCCCCAGGAAGCCCACTCTTGAACTCCTTGGTTGGGCTGGTGCCTATGGGGCTTTCAGGGTTCAGGGCTGTGAAACCAGGGCGGTACTAGTTCGAAGCGATTGAGAAGGGTAAGATCCTGCCATTTGTTTAAGATTTTGATTACTTATTCATATAGTAAATTTTTTCGTTGTTTTAAAAGTTTTAAATATTGCATTCAAATAATATTTATCGAGGCTTTGGGTATACCACACTGAACGCTCTTATTTCGTCTGATCTCGGAAGCTAAGCAGGGTGGGGCATGGTTAGCACTTGGGAAGAATAATATTATTTTTGGTGTCTACTAAGTTGAGGTTTTTTTGCTTGTTTGTTTTTTGGCGAATTTTAATTTTTTTAGCGGGAGGTGAGTGCAGCATTCTCCATTCTGTATTACAGACCCTGCCACGTGGAGCGCAGTTTTCCAATCACGTGGCTGAGCCTTGGACTTTACAATGATTGATCCCCAGTCTTGGATACTGGGGCCAGGCCTGACTTGGCAGGGATATGGGGAACCAGGATGGGTCCCTGTGGAATTTAGTTCCGTTTGTATTCTGCCTTCACCCGCCAAAGAGTCAAAAATAATTTCCTTTGAGCTCTGGGTTGATGATATTTGGAGTTACCTCTACTCTAGTTCAAAGCGTCCACTGATTTAAAGATGTTTTGGCTTTTTTTTTTTTTTTTCGTGGCAGAAGGATCATCTCCCAAGAAAGATTTCCGGGGTAGTTCTTTGCAATTCCACAAATAGAAAAAAATAATTGAGTGGTATTCAACTAACAAACATACTTGCAGTTTCTCACATACATTTCCTTTTTCATCTTATTTAACAGTTAAGTTATTCACATGAAAACACTCTAAAGCAACTCTAAACCTCTATTACCAAAAAAAAAAAAAAAAAAAGTATTAGGGATGGGGTCTGGAGATTTAAAACAAGCAAAAAATGTGCAGCCATATCCGAGATTTCAAAAAGTTTGTAGGAAGTAGAATGAGAAGATAATGGTATTTTCTCCACGAATGTTTTGCATAATTCCAAATACTAAACATTTTTCAATTCCTCCTCAGAATGGCGATTGCAAAACACCTGGATATAAATGAAACCAAAGTGCAGGTCAGTAAATCTTGAAAATACCACTTGACAGTACAGCCATTCTAAAACATGCTTCTTCAGGACCTGGACATTCTCAAATTGTGTGTGTTGTGTTGTTCTTTCCATGTGGTTGTTGTTTGTTATGTGTCATGGCATCCGTTCCAACTCATAGCGACCCTGTACAGGGTTTCTGAAGCTGTAAATCTTTATGGGAGCAGAAAGCCTCATCTTTCTCCCATGGAACAGTTGAACATTGGAAATTTTAGGGGATAAAAATGGGACAAGTAAACTTGAGCTTCTGGAATTTTCCCATTACCAGAGAAAACATGATTTCTTAAAGGGAAAAAAATAGAACTTCTCCTAATATACATAGCATGTATACTTTATATTATCCAGTGGAAACTTATATTCAACTAACAAACATACTTGCATATCTTCGTGGAACTTGACAAGACTGTCTTGTTTTTCATGCCTGGCAAGTTTTCTGTCTTTGACAGTGGAGTCTTACCAATTATCTATACCTCCATATTTATATAAAATATTTGAATTTTCCTTCCCTGACAGGTTTCTGTCTTACACAGTTTCCATCCGGCTTTAGCAGGTTTTCTCTATGAGTGAGAACACTCCACGGCACATAACAGCAACAACTGTATATTTATATATAAAGGAGCCCTGGTGGCATTGTAGGATAAGCACTGGGATTCTAAATACAAGGTTGGCAGTTCAAACACACCACAACTCCTTGGAAGAAAGCTGAGGTTTCTGCTCTCATAAAGATTAACAGCCTCTGAAAGCCTATATAGGCTTGCAATGAGTCAGAATCAACTTGATAATAGTGGGTTTGATTTGGGGTACACCCACACACACACAAGCGTCTAAGAGTTCATGAAAAAATTCTGTTATCTTGTAATTCCATGTTACCATGGACTTTTTGAATCTCCCTCGTGAGTGTATTTGTGTTATGTGTGTGTGTATTCCAACTCCTAACACTGCTCCAACTAATCTAGGAAGTACTCAAATCAATGCATTGAAGAGTCTTGACTGTTTTACAGAATATTTAAAACCAGGCATAAGCTCTTAGCAAAGTAAATATAAATATATAGGTTTTGCGGCAACAGAATAATTCACACACAGACCACAGTACACGATTGATTAATGTATGTTTGGTTAAACTGAGACTGATAGGAGTAGATAAAGTCCTAGTGCCTGGTCTTTCTGTTGTTTTTAAGTGTTGTGTAAAGCAGTGTAGACAGTGGTGGCTGCCCTAAATTTTAATTATCTAGTGTGGCACTGTGGGATAAAGCACTGCTTTATACTGTAGAGTCGGTGGTTCAAGTCCACCAGCAACTCCTTGGAAACACTATACAGGGTCATTATGAGTCGGAGCCGACTCAAGGCACTAAACAAGCACAGTTTAAAAGAGCCCTGGTAGAGTAGTGGTTACGAATTGGGTTGCAAACCACAAGGTTAGTAGTTTGAATTCAACAGCTTCTCTATAGGAGAAAGATGAGGCTTTCTGCTCCTGTAAAGATTTACAATCTCAGAAAACCTATACAGGTCCACTATGAGTCAGAACCGACTTCACAGCACACAGTCACCCCAACTAGAATTGTTTGAGGAGTCCTCATGGTACTGAGGATAAACACTGGTCTGCTAACCACATGATAGACAGTTCAAACCCACCAGCTGCTCCATGGGACAAAGATGCAGCTTTCTGTTTCCATAAATATTTACAGCCTTGGGAACCCTATACAGGGTCACCATGTGTCAAAATAAACTGGATGGCAGTGGAACATTGCTAAAATAAAGTCACATTATGGTGCTAATGGAGTCAAGCTTTGTAATTTTGCCTTAACGAAACAAAAAGAGCCATTTTGAATAAAGTTCCATCTTGGAGTCCTGGTGTGGAACTGTGGCCTAATGTGTCAGACTGCAGTCATTTGAACTCCAAGGTTGGTGATTGAAGCTCACTAGCTGCTCCTTGGAAACCCTACACAGGGTCGCTATGGGTTGGAATCGACTCTACGGCATTTAACAACAGCCTAGAGCCCTGGTTGTCCTGTGGGTTCAGAGTTGGGCTGCTAACCACAGCAACGGCAGTTCAAACCCACCAGCCTTTCTGCAGAAGAATGAGACTGCTTTTGTGACAATTTAGTCTTGGAAACCCTATATTAGGGTTGCAAGGAGTCAGAATGTAATCCTTGGCAGTGGGTTTTCACCTGTTAAGTGCAGTCGAATTGGATCCGACTCATAGTGACCCTGTCTAGGGATTTCAAGGAGCAACTGGGGGATATGAACCTCCGACCTTTCAATTCAAACCAGTCTTGTCACCCAATGCAGAGCCACACCAAGACTCTGGGTTTAAACCTAGGAAATTATTAAAAACAGTAGAGAAAAATTGTTTATAGTCAGATTCCATTTTATGGCACTACCAAATGCATAGAGTCCTGGTGTGGAGTTGTGGGTTAATGCCCCAGACTGCAAAGCCGTTAGAACTGCAAGGTCGGCAGTTCAAGCTCACCTGCTGCTCCTAGGAAATCCTATACAGGGTTGCTGTGGGTTAGAATTGACTCAATGGCACTTAATAACAACAACAAACCATATGTATATGTAAATATGCTCTTGAGGAATTTTCTAAAATTTTAAGTTCTCCCCCTTCCCCTTTTCCACATATATTGTTTTGGGAAAAAAAGTAGGATTTACTTGATTGGAGTGGGGCGTCAGTGCTCTCAGTCGAGACCAGAATCTTACCTGTTATTTTGAAATTTTTTTGTTTTCATTTACTCGAACTTAATTTGTAGGTCATGGGATCAAAAAGGTGACTATTTGAGATCATAGAAGCTGTGTCAAAAAAGTATTTGCTGGAAAATAAAATAAAACCAGGATGGGCTGGTTAACTTTGCTCAGCAGTGGGTGGGTGGGACTGCAGTGATGGAAGCAGGCTGCAGACCTAGTAGAGTAAATGTCCCGAAAAGCAACCCAGTGAAGCAGGCCACTGAGTGTTGGCATCCTAATTCCACAGGTATGGGTTGGCATCCTAATTCTATAGGTATGGCTATAACAAGTCTGGCCTTAGGTTGGGTGAATGAGACTTTCACTTTCTCAGATTAGGCAAGACAAATTCAAAAGAAACACTGGGAAGTTTAGTGAGTTGCGTTCTCCTCTTCATGGATTTTTGAAAGAATAATGAGCCACAAGACATAAATATAGGGGTGAGGGAGTATTCTCATCTGTTTTGAAATTACAGCATGAATTTCCTCCCAAGAAACTGTTAATCTGCTTCACTCCACTTTTGCAAATAGTTTCAGTGTCCTTAAGTCGATTCCAGCTCCTAACAGCTCTGTATAGGTTTTCCAGGGAGCCACTGGTACATCTAAACCACCAACCTTTTGGTTAGCAGTCCAGTGCTTATCCTAAAGTGCCACACCAGGACTCCTTTTCAAATACAGTAGGCCTGTTTTATGAAACCAGTATTGGGAAATATGGAGCTAATATCAATATATTGAGAGTGTGGTGGCGCCATACGATAAGCACTGGACCATGAATGACAAAGTCTGCAGTTTGAGCCCACTAGCCGCTCTGTGGCAGAAAGATTTTTTTTTTGTTTTTTTACGCCTTGGAAATTCTATAAAGGGTTGCTATGAGTTGGAATCGACTTAGCGACACTTAACAACATCAGTATATTACATGAGTCGAAGCTTAGTCACTGGCAACCAACAACAACTTGGCATATATAACAGTGGTCCTTGACTATGTTTACAGAAATGTTACCACTGGTACATTTGTATCTTTCTGAAATAAGGTATTACTCTAGCCTTTAGATTATATATTCATGCAGTAGAAGGATCCCACATCCTAATATTGGAGAGCGAAAACAAGGCATCAGGCTTTAGAGGAGTTCTCGGTCTCACTTTGTAGCTTGGGCTTTTCAAATTGGCAGCCATTTCTCTCTGTTTGACTTTAAATGGGATCCATTTTTTACCATGCTCACAGTCTTCCACAAACAGAGTAATACTATTCTTAGTGAAAGGGAGGCAGAGGCCACTCAACAACTAATGGTCTGCTGCAGGAGACCAGCTTTCCTTTACCCTGTTACCAAGCAGGAGAATTAACAGCAGGAAGCTGGTGCATCAATAGGCATCCACAAACTGGAAGAAAGAAAGAAATAGAGACAGAGTCCAGTGTGGCATTGTAGAATAATACACTAGACCACAAGGTCAACAGGCTCGGTGGTACAAACTCACCAACTGCTCCTTGGAAACCCTACACAGGGTGGCTATGACTTAACAGCACTAACAGCAATAGCAACAAATATATATATGTGTGTGTGTGTGTGTGTGTGTGTGTGTTTGTTGTTGTTGTTTTTAGGTGCCATCAAGTCGGCACCAACTCATAGCGACCTTATGCTACCAGAGCTCCTTTGGGCTTCCCTGTAGGTGCATGGATATTTTCCTATCACAGACAGCGTTGTGCCTCATGACTGATCCGGATATGTTCCTTTTGACAATGAATGCAACACCATTCATTGTCAATTTGTTATTTTTGGCATAGTAAACCATGTGGTCATCAGATTGAAAATGGCCAGTACCAGTCCATTTCAGCTCACTAATGCCTAAGATAATAGAGCTCTGGTAGCGTAGTGGTTATGAATTGGGCTGCGAACCACAAAGTCAGCAGTTTGAAACTACCAGCTGTTCCACGGGAGAAAGATGAAGCTTTCTGCTCCCGTAAAGATTTATAGCCTCGGAAACCCTGTACAGGGTCGCTATGATTCAGAACCAACTCCATAACACACAGCCACCAATGCCTATGATATCGATGTTTATATGTTCCATTTCATTTTTGACAACTTCCAGTTTTCCCAGATTCATACTTCATACATTCCATGTTCCAATTTTCAATGGATGTTTACAGCTGTTTCTCCTCATTTTGAGTTGTGCCCCATCAGCAAATGAAGGCCCCACAGGCTTTACTCCATTCACGTCATCACAGTCAACAATACTTTGAGGAGGCAGCTCTTCCCCAGCCTTCCAGCCTCATTTTCTGGCACTATATCTGACAGTGTTTTTCTGCTATCCATAAGGTTTTTAGTGACTAAATATTTGGAAGTAGTTTGTCACTCTTTCTCTTCCTAGTCTGTCTTCATCTGGAAGCTCATCTGAAACCTGTCCATCATGGGTGACCCTGCTGATATTTAAAATACCGGTGGCATAGCTTTCAGAATCACAGCAACTCACAAGCCACCACAGTACAACAAACTGACAAATGAGTGGTAGATATATATATATATATATATATTTAAATTGAAAGGAAAACAGCAAATCATTAGGTTTAGTTCTGAACTAAGCTTGCTCATTAAGGGTAAAATGAAGGGAGGAGATGCAAAGTTAACTTTCCTCAGGTTTTTTGCTGCTGTTGTTGTTAAATGCTGTCAGTGGGTTCTGACTCATAGTGACCCTGTATAGAGTTTTCAAGTTATGGTTGGTGGGCTTGAACCACCAACCTTTGAGTTAGCAGTACAGTGCTTATTCTACAGCATCATACCAGACATTTTAGCAATAAGGAGATAATTTCTGTTATAATTTAAAATGTCAATGGCATAAACAATTGCAGTTTTGTCTGTGTATGTGTGTGGTTTTTTTTTCAAACAGGACATTTATTAACTGTTCCAATATACTAAACCAACCCCTTTCCCCCCTCTGATTGAAGGTTTGGTTTCAGAATAGAAGGGCCAAGTGGAGGAGACATCAGAGAGCACTGACGCTCCAACACAGCATGGCCCTGCACCCCCTGTCTATGGGGGTCACCTTTGATAGACCCTATATGGAGCCTACTTGGAGAGCTGTTCCTCTTGTTCCACAGCCACCCAGGCTGCCTATGCCATCTGGACCACTTGAGCCTCCTATGCCATTCAGGCCTCCTGTGCCATTAATGCTTCCTATACCATTTAGGCCTCCTATATCTCTAGGGCCGCCTGTGCTACATGAGATTCCTATGCAAGCCATGCAGGCTGCTCCTCCTTTGGGGCTGGCCCCTGTAGACATGGGATGGGCCCCTGTCTCCAACAGTCACTCCCCAGGTTCTATTTTCTAAAGTTGAATTTTCCTGACAGTTATTCCAAAGTGCTTTTCTGCAGGATGCAAACTGCACAGCATCTCAAGTAACTCACTTAATGCATGTTAAATGAGTTGAATAAACAAACAAAGTTAGTGCCCAGTATATTTTTGAAGGGAGTGTTTGTATATTTTCAATAAAGATGAGAATGTTCAATGTATTTGTTCTTGTGTGTCAAATGGGGTTGGGAAGGTATGGAGGTTTCCTTTCATGGGTCTCACATCCCTGAGTCACCATCAATACACCTTGCAAGTCAGCAGTTTCCCACATGCCCATTGCAGGTTTACAAGATCCAGACTTTGTATTTCCTCCCCATCATCAGTCTCATCCTGCTCCCTTGCGTAGTCATGCATGTACAAGATGGGGCAAGGTGAGTCCCTAGTGAGAGAACAATGTATTTCAAGCCAGAGCCAAACTCCATTGGTGCTGACAAGCTCAGCCATACTCTGGATACTAAGGGGAACCTCTTAAGAGGCTACTCTGGACTTTATGAAAAGGTGGCAGCCACACTTTCTGGTCCTGCAAATGATGTTCACTTACCCAGTGATCCTGCTGCTTCAAAGCAGGTGCCATCAAGGCCAGAAAGAACCTTTTCTCCCCTTCCTGCTCCAGTTCAAGTGTACTTCGTCACTTTCAAAATCCTTGTGAGAACCCTAGTGCCTGCTGTTTAAACACTGAAGCAACCTTTGGTTTAATGTTTCTGGAGGAAACTCATCAGCTCTTTGCTTTGTTGATAACATATTTACATGAAACTGTGAGGCTGGGAAACAAAAACAAACAAAAAATGTCAAGGGTGAAGGGGGTCACTTGCTTGCTTTAAAACAAGTGGTATTCATTAAAACCTTTGCTTTTGAGCAATGCCACACAATGTACAGGAATTTTATGAATACAGTCTTACTATGAAGTGATTGCAGTGGCTTTAGATAAGGGTGTATGGTTACACCAGAATTTCCTTGGATAGGGGAGGGCAAGAGGGTGGCAGGCAAGTATCAAAGACCAGTTTTACAGTACTCTTTCCAGTTTGAAGGGAGATTCTGTTTTGTTGGGCAGGTATAGAATTGTTTGCAGTGTTGTCCAATACACTTCATTCTTTTTTCTCTCCATACATGGATGGCAAACATGAGCAAAACTATATATAGCATCTAACATGAGACTTCTGCAGAGAAAAGGAGGACAACCCTATCCTAAAGACCGCTAGCCCTTTTTGTGCTGTTGTTAAAGTGCCAGCGAGTCAGTTCTGATTCATAGCAACCCTGTTTAGGGTTTCCATGGAGTGACTGGTGGATTTGAACCGTTGACCTTGAAGTTAGCAGTCCAGTTCCCAGTGTGCACGCATGCGTATCCACTACCATCCTCACCAAATGAATTTAAAACCAAAACATTTCCTAATTGCTGACACCTTCCCTTCTTGTTAAACATCAGATTCCTCAATTCTTTAAATTATCTCAGAACTACGGGGCCCATGCAAAAAAAAACTCCAGGACCCCATCCAGCCTTGTCACCCTGAACTCAAAGTCAAACCTTTCTCAACACAAATCCCTTATATCCAGTCTGAGAAACCAACAAGTTTTTCATCTCGGACTGACAAGAAGAAGCATAAATTTGGCATATAGAATTGCACCACTCACACTCCTACCTTCAGTTGGTTAACAAGTTCTACACGGACAAGGATCTTGGTCTGTTTTGTTTATTGCTGTATCCCAACACCTAGAACAGTTACTGACACATGGGACACATATATCCCATAAGCGGATCTTGAAGAATCATACATACTATTTTTAATCATATCTATTGCTTTTGGGAGTCAGATGAATTAAGGTGGTGAAATGGGGGCAGAAGAAATATACAAAACATTCCTGCACATGATAATGTCCCCTCAAAAGTAATCTCATAAAGAGCATTATTCTTAAAGTGCATTTCATATATCCCTTAGTCATGGATCAGAAAATTATTTTAATATAAGAAAATTACTTTGATTTATATATTTAAGGTATATATATGTATAGAACCTGGCTATCAGGTAATAGGTTCACTCGAAATAGGTGGTTTTGTAAATATTTTGGCTGCAAAGTTACAATCTCAGGTGAACTACAGTAACTTCAGCAATTTATGTTGTTGTGAAAGTGCCGTCGAGTCAATTCCGACCCATAGAAACCCTGTATATGGTTTCCAAGAAGCAGCTGATGAGCTTGAATCACCGACCTTGCAGTTCAAACGACTTTTCAGTGGCCCTCAGTGCCACACCAGGACTCTTCAGCACTCTGCAGTAGTATAATTTTGGGTGTGCTCCTGCTTTCTAAAGTGATTTCACATTGAAGAACACATGCCAGCAAGCTGCCACAGTTGTAACTTTTATGGTAAAATTAAGCAAAGAAAAGCTATGTACTATTGAAGGAGAAAGAATATTTCTTAAATTAAAACTAGATGTGTGCGTTCCATAGACTTCTGTTGACCTTGAGATGAGAGCGAGAAGAGGAAGTGCTGGTTGGTCCGAAGTTTGGGGGGACTTGGGAACTTTTGAGCCCATGGACACTGACCTAGACATGGAGGGCTAGAGCTGAGAATGAAGTGTTCGGCTGATAATGAAGTGGGGGGAGATGCACAAGAACACCCAAACCTTCAGATAGTACCCATTTGACCTAGGTTAGATGGCTTGATGATCAGAACTCGACTAGAGGAAGATAAAGAAATTTAAAAAGCAAGTATAAATTGCTACAATTTCATGAACTTTACCTATATTTATGGATGTAGTAGCTCAAAATACCAACTGAGAGGGAAGGAGTCTTCAAGGATCAATCCTATCCCCTCTGTATGCAGGGTAGATAGGGACGGGCAACTTAAACATTGGCTAAATTTTCCTAACATCATGAAAAGTGAAAAGATAAGCATTCAAGAATCTCAATGATGGACAGACCCTAAAAGACAATCACAAAGACATATAATAATCAAGCTCTCCAAAATCAAAGATAA